CCTTTTTATCAGCTGTTATCATAAATGCAAACTAATAAATCATAGACAACAAGCCACCTGAGAGAGGTTGTTCCTTCTTAGTGCAGTTAACCACAACACGGCTTTCCTGCTGCAATTTCACGAAACGCTCAAGGGAACCGATCGTTTATGTATATTTTTACAGATCTCCATGTTATTATTTAAAAAAAAAAAAACTTCCCAGCTGGATTTTATGGCAGATGAACTACTGGATGATTCTATTGGTCCATAAAAGTAATTAGAAATGAATTAATACAGTTCATAAGAATTACAGCTTTTTGTTGGGAAAAAAAAATATAAGACTCAAAACTGAAGGAAGTCTTGTAGCCTCCCCAGAAGTTCCAGCCAATGAGGTCAAATGTCAAGTAAATCAAAATCCTTCAAGACTCTAGATCAGAGAAGAGTGTGCTGATGTTACTATGCCACAGCTGCCCACTATTCCCGAGCACTGACCCCATCATCTAGAAAATGGAAGAAAACTCAACCGTTTTTGTGTTTTTGCTTTTTAATGGATGGCATCTGATCATGGTTAGTTTTTGCACAAACACTAAACACAGCAGGATCCAGTTCTAAAAATGGCTCATCTTTATTTCCTATCTTGCAAGATTTTAGAAAGCTGCTTTTTTTCCCCCATCAGTCAAATCCAATCCAGCCTACTTTCTTTCTCTTTCTTTCTTTCTTTCTTTCTTTCTTTCTTGGCAACAGCGAACAAACCATAAAAGGTATTTGGTGCTGTTCGGAGGAGCTGAGCAATGCTTCCACTCCGCTTTAATGTTTTCCTTACAGACTTTCTCTCAAGGGAAAGATGCTGTCCTACACGCTGGCAAGTAGAAATAGCTTAATGTTCAAGCAGATTCAATATTTGGTACTTTTTCTGGTGTAGTCAATTATCCATCAGAGCAATGCAGCACCTGGTATCCAACGGCCATGTCAAGACTATCACAAAAATATTTCCCCCCCCCCATAAGATTGAGTCTCAAACTTCAGTGTTCCTCTTTGCCTCTTTTCTGACAGAGACACAAGGCAACGAAGCATCTGATGGCTTCGCCTTCAACGAATCACAATTTGTTATTTTGTCCGAGAGGGAAAAAGTACAATTTGAGTGCGGCTGGCTCCAATGTAATGCAATTGGCAATCCAAACTTGCTTATGTACCCTGATTAAAAACTACCCACGTTTCCTAATTCAGACAAAAACATGTAAATGATTGCAGTCACATTGGAAAACAAAGATGAACGCTGTCCAGAATATTAAGCTATATTTCCACATTTTGTCTGAACTAGGCCATTCTTTAAAAAAAAAAAAAAAATAAGGAGTGTGATAGAATTGTGCTATCTAAGAAAATCACGCTGTCCTTCACTTCCTATTTTACTCAAAGCATCTGTCTTCTCACGCCTGCCAAAAGAATCATTTGCAATTTCCATTTTGGCATGTACTATGGAATTGACACAGCTACCCAATCTGCAGCATTTAGAAATGTTTTCAGGATTAGTATTTAGGCTATCCTATTTTATACACTGCAAAGGCAACTTTCTTAATTATGAGTTATCTATATTTGGGCATGTTTGCACGGCATTCCTTTGCTAGCCTATTGCAACAGAATTCCAGTGACTATGATATGCACATAAAGAACACTCTTAGTGAAATATTACATAATTTATCTTCAGTCCCTAATTCTTTCAGTCCATGTTCGTCTTAGATTCTTGATTTTTGTTTAAGCATCTTTTAACAATTTGATGCATGACCAACAAAGAGACACGGGAGAAAAGAAGAATCTGTGCTCTTTGCTCAAAGGATTGTGAGTCTTTTTTTTTAAAAAAAAAGCAAAAAAAAAAGTTCTCAACAGTACTAAACATCCCACAGCATACTGTATGAACAGGCTTAAAGGAGCCGAATAAAATTGTCTGCTAAACTATACAGAGTTTTGGATCTTTTGTTTTTTAAAGAAACTGTCATGAAATCTAACCTACTGATTTTGTGGTAGCTCGATTATTAAAAAAAAAAAAGCAACCTAAAGATTTCATGTGATATTAACATACAGTGTACAAGTACTGTTACCTTCTCCTTAGTTACTCCAACTCATTCAGCTGCAAAGGAATGACTAAAATAGAACAATTCTCCACAACAATTCCCATTTATCCATCACCATCTTCCAAATTATCAGTAACCCTTAACTATTTACAGTATATTTATTGGGCTGGGTGTATTCTATTGGATGTTCTCCTGCAGAAGCCCCATTGCTCTAAATAGGTACAATGCCTATTCTTTCCTCAGGAAAGAAAATAGAATGTGCTGTTTACTCTATTTTCTGATTCTATCCTCAAGTCAGTTTTCTCACCAGAACTTTTTTTTAAAGTCACTATTTTTACACCTTGGTGCTAAATACATGTACTTGCAATACGTTCTGTTGGTGTCAATAGAACATAGTTCCAGGAATGAGTGTTTATTCAATCGCAAATGTCTTTTAACATGTGCAGGACTAAAAAGCATAACAATGAATCAATCTCTCCCACACTGTCTGACATCACTGGTATCAGCAAGACACATCGTCTTTGCAAACCCGAAAACTTCAGATGTCTATTTTCAAACCAAGCCTTGAAACGGGAAGCAAAATCCATTAGTAGCAGCTCTTGAGCAATTGAATAGATTCGACTTTCTGAATCTTGCAAAACTAGGCCCCTAACGGGAGCTGTCTTCCCATTTACTTAGTACAAGAATAATTCTCTCGCTGCAGCTGGAGAAAAATATACAGGATTCTTATGGGTTCAACTTTATTTGGAAACGGGAACATGCAACAATTCTCTACTAATTATTATAAAGCTTGCCATCCAATTGAGAGTTGGGAGGAGGGACAGCTGAATCATTTCAACACTATCCACTTCTCTGGTGGACTCCAACACATCAAAACACTTCTTAAAAATCTGTGCTAAAAAAAATTCTAGCCTTCCCTCTTAAAAAGCAGGAGTTTAGAAGTTATCCACAAAACCTTGTTTCTGAAAGTCTGACCATCTTGAGGTGCTCTTCCAGGGAAGTTGCTACGGACTTGTGATTTTAATCCCCTATGGACTTCTGGAAAAAATAAAATAAAACCCAATCCTGTAACAGGACCAGACAATCAAAATGTGGGCCCAAACAATTTGTGGGTACTTGATAACCAACCTGGAAGGAATCAAGAGTGAGGAAGCAGTGATGCTCCAGTCTCAAGTTACACAGATCCCAGCCCTGTGTTAAAGTTGCCTAGACACACGATTTATGCCCTTACTTTGATAACACTGTTATCAACTCCCTCTTAGGGAGGAGAGTGTGGAATTTCATCTCAAATGCTTTTTAACAGGGCCACCAAGTATTCTCAGAGTACTTTCTTCAACAACACACCTCCGTAGGAGCTAAAAATATAGCAAAGATTGGTCTAAAATTCCAGGAGTGATTTTGAAAATGCTAATGTACAACTTGGGAAATGAATCCAGCTAGAAAATGGACACTTTCCATCCCAGGGGCCACCAAAGCCTCTTCTAATGGAGCTTGCCTTACTCCGTGGACCCATCAGCCAGACCAGACCTGCACCATCATTTAAGAAAACAAAAAGTCAGCCATGAGATGGTTTGGGCAGCTAAACTTTTCAACAAGTGATGCAATGAAACTTCAGCACTCTGGGCCCCCAGAAAACATGCCAGCTTAAAATCCTGGTTCCTTCAGTGTGACTGTTATTAAATAAAGGATTTCTTTGGGTTTCTGTACCAGCCTGACCCATCCCTTCCCCCCCCCCCAAATTCTAAACTACTGCACAATTGGCAGCCGGCCAGCTCAGCCAATGTAGTCCCGTAGCGCCATCTAGAGGGGCATTCTTGCATTCTAATTTTGTGGCGAAAGACAAGCACCAATGAAATGAATTAAGACAGCGCTGCATTTAAATCTTTATTAGCCAGGAATAATTTTACCTAGATCATCATTGTAAGAATGATATTCCCCCATCCCCTAATACTGGATTTGGATGAAATATGAGGTTCCTTGACCTAATTTTTTTTTTTTTAAATGGCAGATTTCATAGCTTTAAAATGACTCATGAAAAACTCCCTTATGGGCTAATCAGAGAATGTATTTGCAATGGAGTGATTTTTTTTTTCCTGCATAATTCATGGTGAGTTTTCTTTCTTTTTTTTTTTTATTTCTCTTAGTTATAAACAAATGAATTCCTCTTGAAGGTGTACTTTGGCCATTTAAAACAGGAAGAGAAACGAAACAAAAGCAGACACAAATAAAAATGCAACTTTTTCTTCCTTAACAGACATGTAGTTTTACTGCTACACAACTGAAACCATTGTAATTCACTGTCTCCTACCCAACCGACACAGTGCAACACAACCTTTGAGCCTTGGTGAAGACAAAATCAGCTCCTGAAAATGGTAACGTAACAAATGTTCCAGATCAGCGGGAAATAAACGGGGTGGGAGGAGACAGTCAAACCAGTCTCCTGTGGAAATACAACTTTTCTTCAATTGGAAATTAATATATTTAACCCTGAAACATTTTGGTCCGTCTAATTTTTTTTTTTTCCCTTGATCTGAATCTGGCAGACCAAGCACCAACCACTCTTCATCTTCGGCAATGCTCTATCCTGATATGCTTTCGACAAAAAAACAAAAAACAAAAACATGATACTATTGCTTCTAAGCACTAGCCTGTGTACCTGTGTGCATCTCTGTTGGTGGATGAGTGTGAATGAGTATGTGTGTGTGTGCCACTTGTCCTAAAAGAAAAAAAGCAAAAAAGTTGGTGACGTTAACACTTTGGGACCACGGTTTTCATTTATACCAATGCATAGTCCTGGGAGGTGAGAAACCTCACCACCCTTCTTTCTTTCTCTCCTTAGCAAAAACTAAGCTAACATTATCCCAAAGGCCAAGAATTCTTCCTGGCACTTTAATACTGGTTGAGTGGGCACTTGTATGCAGTACTTATAGACCAGTAGAAGTGCTCGTTTACCTGTCTGGTGTGTAAGGGGCCTTTTGTCTTGAAACCTCCTTGCGAACTGCACTCTGAGGCACTGAAGTGGTCTGAGCTAGTGGAAGAGCGTTTGGAAAGGGTGTCACACCCTCCAACAAAGGTGTTGTCCAAGGGGAGCTCCTGAATCACGTGATGCTTTTTCACCGAGACGGGAGTGTCCGGCTTAAGATGGAAAGCAGACTGTGGAGAGGCAGATTTGTAATGCTTAGCGAGATCAGGGCTGTTAGGCTTAAAGGTGGTGGGTGGTGCAGTGCCCCAGTCAAATCTTCCTATACTCTGCTCCTCCAGCTCAGCTGGAAGGCTAATGGTCCCGTTGATAGGTTCGTGAACAGCATCCTCGGGCTTGGACTCCTCAATGGTCACAAAATTCAACAGGGAACTTTTAGGAGATTTCCTTTTCTTCCGCTTCTTCTTCTTGTTCTGCTTGTTCTCCTGGTTGGGGGACATCCACTCGGCCCCTTGCTTGCTCCTCTGGGCAGCTTTGAACCTGGATGCGTGGCGGCAGCGGACCAGCACGGTGACAAAGATGACCACGATGACTACCATGGCTCCTGCCACGATGGCAATCATGATGGTAAGGTAGTCCTCGTTTTGGTAGGGCTGGCTGCTGTCCCCGATATTCCTATCCAAAGGGGTCTCCATAGTCCTGCGGATCAGGTCATAAATATAAGAGGCATTTCCCGCAGTGTCATTGACATAGAGAAACACAAGGACAAGGGTGTGCAAGGATTTAGGATAGCCCAGATCACTAATGTTGACCACCAACCGATGTAAGCCCACATCGGTTGGAATCGGTTTCTCTTCCAGGGTGATGTTACCCGTCACAGGATCAATGCGGAACAAGCCTTTGTTGTTTCCACTGACTATTGTGTATTTCAGTTCAGCATTCATTCCTGTGTCGATGTCAACAGCAAACACTTCTGCTACCACCGACCCTGGGATAGCTGAGAGAGGTACCAGCTTAAAAGATGTATTAGAAGGGGGATAGATGACCACTGGGCTGTTGTCATTAACATCCATCACATTAATGGTGACCTTAGCAGTAGAAGAGCAGGGTGGCTGTCCTCCATCAATAGCCTTGACATCAAAGGTGTAGGAACTTTGTTGCTCACGATCAAAAGACACATTAGACTTTATAACTCCAGAATAAGGATCCAGAACAAAGTTCTCATTGTCGTTCAAGATGGAGAGAGTCACAGCTTTATTCTCACCCGCGTCTGCGTCCGTCACTGTGATCACTCCTACAGTACTATACTTTGGTAGGTTCTCAGACACAAAAAACTGAAAATGGTTATGTGTGAATTTGGGACTGTTGTCATTCTCATCTAGCACCGTAACAATCACAGCTGCTTGGCTCTGCAAGGGAGGAGTCCCGTTGTCTCTGGCCGTGACTGTGAAAATGAACCTCTCCTGTTCTTCTCGGTCAAACACCCGGGAAGCTGTCAAGACCCCTGTCTTACGATCCAGATCAAAAAAGGAGGCATTGGGACCAAGCTGATATACAATGTCTGCATTCTTACCACTGTCCTCGTCAGTGGCGCTAATCGTGGTTAAATACAGTCCTCGTCGGTTGTTTTCAGAAACTGAGAGCTCAATAACAGGCTGGCTAAAGATGGGAGGGTTGTCGTTTTCATCCTCCAACTTGACTCTGACCAGGGCTGTCTGGTTCAAACTGGGTTTGCCTGAGTCAGAGGCCACTATTTTAAAGCTGAATTCTTTGGTGCCCTCGTAGTCCAGCAAGGAAGAGGTCTCTAACAAGTACTGGTTGTCATAAACGGCTTTCAAGTGAAATGGCACCTCTCTTTCAATGAAACAGATAACTTTGCCATTCACATCGGTGTCCTTATCTGAGACGGTAATCAGCGCAATCTTGGTATTGATGGGATCTTTCTCAGATAAGTACACTGTGCCATTGATGGGGCTTATGATGTACCTGAGGTCTATGTTAGGGGGGTTATCATTAACATCAGTCACGTTGATGGTAACGGTGGCCCGGGCAGGAGTTGAGCTACCATCACTGGCTAGAACTGTCACCTTGTGGATGGCAGTCTCCTCTCGATCCAAGGCCCTCTGAACAGTGATTAGCCCAGTGGTGTTGTTTAAAGCAAAGAGTCGTTTTGTTGCCGGAGCAACCTGGGCCCCAAAAATGTATCTGATTTCTGCATTGCTTCCCACATCTGCATCTGTGGCATGGAGCTGGAGGACAGAGGTCCCTACCGGGGCGTTCTCAGGTATGTGGACTTCCACCTGGCTCTCTTTAAAAACTGGCCTGTTGTCATTGACATCACTTACTGTGACCTGAAGGATGGCTGTGCTGGATTTCTGGGGTGTTCCTCCATCCTCCACCTTGATTTTCATCACATAAGTGTCCTTCTGCTCCCTGTCTAGATTTTGCTGCACGATCAGCTGAGGCCACTTTTCCCCTTCCGGAGTTTCCACAATATCCAACCCAAAGACACTCTGCCCGTTCAGAAGTTCGTAATGCTGGACTCCGTTGAAGCCAGTGTCTGGATCTGTGGCGGAGGGGATGGGGAAGCGGCTGTTGATCAACGTGTTCTCAGGGATGGAGATGTTGATGACAGGAGACGGGAACATGGGGGCATTGTCGTTGGTGTCCTTCACAATGATCTTGATCTTGATCAGCCTGAAAAAGTCATTGGGGAGGATCACCACCTCCAGCTCGAAGAAGCACTCGTTCTCTTCCGCGTAAGCGGCCCCCGCGCAGAGTCTCTCCCGATCAATCCGGTTGGAGGTGGTGAAGATCTCTCCCGTGGTGCTGGAGACTTTCACCAAAGGGGCATCTCCTGCTTTGGAGACCAGCCTGTAGACAAGACTAGTGCTGGTTCCGGTGGCAGCATTGATGTGAGAAACGTTCAGATCCTTTGGTATGTTCCCAATGGGGACGTTTTCAGGCAGTTCCTCCCGGATGGTGTAAATAAGTTCTTGAGCGACAGCAGAATCCAGCCGCAAGCAGGCAATCAGAGCAGCCAACAGGTAAAAATCCCTCAGGTCCATGATAATCTGTTTATAGATCCTTCTTTTAGGGTTCCAAGAGGTACGTGAAGGAGGGCTGACTTCTTCGCCAAAGGAAGCTGGCCGGCTGCATCACACATCCAAGCGCTGACTTCCCGACAGTCCCTGCCGACAACACAATCAGAACAACATTTGGTAAAGAAGCGTTCATTTTTAATAAACGGTATCAGATCCACACACACACACACACACACACACACGCACGCACACACGCACTTGCAAAGGAGAAACACTGCCACCTGCTTCCATTTCTTGCTTGTGTTATGTGTGCGTGAGAGTAATTCCCGCTTCATGAATGCACCAATATACCGCCACTAGCGCCGAGGAGTGCACACTGAGAATGAAATTAACTAGTTACAAGATTGAGTCCAGGGGCGGGGAGGGGGGGGAAAGAGACACAGATGCAATTCACACTGACACACACACAGAGCCAACACACACACACACACACACACACACACACAAAGAGGCAGGCAGGCACGCGTACACTTGCTCTCATCAGCCCATAGCCTTGAGCAGCATTCCCTCTGCTATTTCACCTCCCATCCTTGGATTGGAGGCAAGTTAAAAAGAGAGAGAGAGAGAGAAAGAGAGAGAGAGGAAAAAAAAGGGGGGAAACGGGAAGGAAGCCGGAGCTTCTTGGAAGTGTGTTTCAGCCCCCCCCCCATTTCCCCCCACCCACCGAGCCAGCAATTAAATTACCTAGCCTGGTTGTGTGCCTTTGATGGGTCTGTTGCAAAGAGATGGGCTCAGCTGCAGAAGGAGCTTTCCAGACAGATCAGGGCTGCAGCCGTTTTTTGGGGGGGCTGCTTCCTAACCTTTTTTTTTTATCTAAAGGAGGGAGACCGAAGGACTTTTCTTGCCTCCCCCCCCCCAGACAGACCAAACCTCACCTTCAGCAGATGTGGCCGTCTAAGAGTTGGGGGGGGGGAGAGAATAAAAAACGGCTAAGATTTCTCCATCATTGTCACCACTACACCACCCCCCCTAAATGCAACTTTCAAATCAACAGAAGACGGGGCTAGGAGGGGTCTGGGAAGCGACTGGGCAACAGCCCCAACCGCTGTTTACAAAGGCAGAGGTAGAAACGGGGGGGGGGTGCTCTCCTGGCTTTCGGTGGGGGAAGCAGCAGAGCCCCTCCGATGCCACCCCCCCCCCCAGTGGGTTGCTCTCAGCAAGCAAACCAGGCATAAATACCGCAGCTCCAACAGTGCTGGGTCAAGAAACAGAGCAGGGGGGGGAGAGGGCGATTTACGGCAGGCAGGGGAAAAAGCTGGGGCGCCGCTATACAGATTGGGGAGCCGTGGATGCGGGGGGCGGGGGGGGGGAAGAGAGAAGAAGAGTTTGATGAATGGTCCAGCCTGCATCTGCATGAAAAGCCCCGCGGCGACGCCGGCGGTCCTCCTCATCTTCCCTCGCCGCAGGCACAAATAAATCAAAATAACGAAAATTAAAAAAAAGGGGGGGAGGGGGACGCTGACCCCCCCTTCTCTTCGTCTCCCACCAAACGCCAGCAGCCAAGGTGGAAATCGCTTCCTTCCCTCCGTGCCCGCGATCCTGGCTCCCCTTTGCACACGCACACACACACACACACACACACACATATACACACCCCCGCTCGGCTGCCAGAGCTTGCAACTTTGCACTTACGTTGCCGCTGCTTCTCCAACTGCTGGAAGCCAAGCGAGGAGCCGGGCGCCGTCCTTCTCCTCCTTCTTCTTCTCCTCCTCCTCCTCTTCCTCCTTCTCCTTTTTCCCCCAGCTCTCCGCGGCGCATTTGGGGGCGCCCCAAGTCGGCGAGAAGCGAGAGAAATCAGCGAACGACGACGACGACGACGGGAAAGGCCGGCGCGGCTTCCCGGAGCCCGGCGCTGGAAGCCGCCGGGGGCAAATCCCCAAGTCCCGAGAACAAATTCCCCGCTCCGTCCGGCTTAGGCGTCGGCGTCATCTTCCACCTCCTCCTCGTCTTCTGCTTCCTCCTTCGGCTTCTCCTCGCCGCCGTCGCCGGCCGGGACCTTGTGGCCGCTTCCCGCGAGGGATGCTCCGACTGCGCGGCTGGGCTCCCGCCCGGGGCTCTCGCTTCAAGCCCCCCGAGGCAGCCCGCCAGCCCGGGCCGCTTCTCTGCCTCTCAGCTCCGGGGCGCGCCGTCGCCGCCACCACCACCACCGCCGTCCGCGGCGGTTCCCCATGCCGCGCTCATCGGCGGCGGCGGCGGCGGGGGGGCGCCCGCAGCCTCCGGAGACGGAGCCCCAACTTCGCCCGGCAAGGCAAGAGGTCCAGAGCCGTCCGCCGCTGCTGGCCGGCCGGCCGGTCGGCTCGTCCCCTCTCCTGCCCCGGAGGCAGCCCGGAGGTCCAGCTGCCTCCCGCTCGCTCGCTCGCTCGCTTCTCTGGGTCTCAAGCGCTCCCGGCTCGGCTCTCCTCTCGCCTGCTTCCCTCCGAACTGGCTTTCTTGATATAACTCTCGCTAAGCCCAGAGGGAGGGCGTGTTGCAGGGCGAAGCCACGCCCCCGCCTGGCCGCGGGTTGGGTGGACGGGCAGGGGGGAGGGCGGCTGGGGAGGGGGGTGTTCAGCCGGGCCCTGCCGATAGGACGAGGGGCGCGTCGGTCAGGTCCTGGAGGCGGCCGAGCGGCGAGCGCCTTGCTTGCCGCGGTGCTGAATGGCTAAGGAGGCTGCTGCCGCTGCGGTGGCGACGGAGGAGGAGGAGGAGGAGGAGGAAAAGGGAGGGAGGGGAGTGGGGGAGAGGTAGAAGAGGAGGAAAAGGGGAGGAGGGGGCGAGGAGGAGGAGGGGGAGGAGGAAAAGGGAGGGAGGTGGAAGGAGAGAAAGAGGAGGAGGAAAAGGGGAGGAGGGGGCGAGGAGGGGAGGAGGAGGAGTGGGAGAGGAGGAAGAGGAGGAAAAGGGAGGAAGGGAGGTGGGGGAGAGGTGGAAGAGGAGGAGGAGGAAAAGGGGGAAAGGGGGCGAGGAGGAGGAGGAAGAGGAGGAGAAATGGGGAGGAGGAGTGGGAAGAGGAGGAAGAGGGGAAAAAGGTGGGAGAGAGGAGGAGGGGGAGGAAAAGGGGAGGAGGGGGAGAGGAGGAGGAGGAAAAAGGAAGGAGGAGGAGGAGGAGTGAGAGAGGAGGAAGAGGAGGAGGACATCGGCCGCACCGACCACTTAACGCAGCTTCGGGAACCTATTTTCGCCCACCAATTCCCCGCGCTTGGCTTGGGTCCGCTGAATTGTTCAGCCTGCTTCCTTTCTCCCCCCCCCTCCCCCCGGAGAGGCAAGAGCTGCTCTGAGCATAGGAAGAGCGCCTAGTCTCTTAGGGCAACCGCCCGGCTTTCAGAAGAGGAGGCTTGACCCGTGAGAAGGCAGGCAGAACGGACGCACGACGGAGGAGCAGCTGGCGATGCGTCCTTTGGCGGCTCTCTCCCCCCTCCTCCCCCCCGCCAGCTTCTCCGGACTGGGAACTTGGCTCAATCTGGTTCCTACTCTGCTCTCCAGGGAGAGATGTTGGTCTCTGGCTTCCCACCACTGTGGCCGTTCTTGGCCTCAGCCAAAGGGAGGACCTCCCCAGGCAATTTAGGGAGGGGGAAATCCGTGGCGTTCCGATTACGGAACTTCTGGCGCCGTCCCCTCCTTCCTTAGGGGTGGGGGAGAGTAAGCAATCTGTTTGCAAGCGGCAGAAGCCAAGAAATAGCCCCAAAGCAGCAAATAGTAATAGTAGTAAAGTTGGAAGGGACCTTGGAGGTCATCTAGTCCAACCCCTTGCTCAGGCAGGAAACCCTACACGATTTCGGACAAATGGCTGTCCAGTCTCTTCTTTAAAACTTCCAGTGTTGGAGCATTTACCGCTTCTGGAGGCAGGTTGTTCCACTGATTAATTGTTCTCACTGTCAGGAAGTTTCGCCTTAGTTCTAGGTTGCTTCTCTCCTTGATTAGTTTCCACCCATTGCTTCTTGTCCTGCCTTCAGGTGCTTTGGAAAATAGCTTAATGTTGAAGTAGGATGGCCCTTTGTTCCCAGAACGTCATTGTTGATTCTATCTCCCATTGAGAAGTCTCAGAGGGAAATGCAACCAACAATTAGTTGCTTTCCAACTTCACATCAGCAGGCTCCTTGGGGTATCCAGACTAGGAGAATCACCCCGGGAAGCACCAGGAAGCCAACGCAGTTCAACTCATTCATATAAGAACGAAAACCAGGCGGCAAATTGGCGAACCAGGATTGGGCAGCTGTAGCTAGTAGTGTCAAGTTTCTTCACCCATCCAGGTTGAACACAGTCAGCCAATCAGAGCAACGAAGCTAGAATGCAAACAGAGCAGCGCTTCATAAATCATTACAGAGTTTAATAAATAATACTTCCAGTTCATTTTCGGATCTGGTCCTGATCTCGTCCCGTTGACCATTTGGGGCTCATAATAATTTGGAGTTTCTGGTTCAAGCGAGGTTGGCAGCCTGGCTGTTTGATTTCCGGAGATATTTAGTCATAGGTAGCTTGTTGATCTGCAGCAACAGGGGAGAAGCGAAAAAGTCAGTGAGAAATCCCTTTGGCACCGTTTCCGTATATATTATTAAAAAAATAACGTTTTTTTTTTTTAAAAAAACAAGCACAATAAAGATAGTAAGGAAAATACTAAATAGGGAAAGGGGAAATGGGGGAGGAAAAGAGGGGAGGGGAGGGGAAATGAGAGGAGAGGAAAGGAAAGGAGATGAAAGGGAAGGGAAAGGAAATTAAGGAGAGGAGAGGGAAAGAAAGATTATAAGGTAACAACTTCTGATCTTCTTGATATTTATATTTTCCCCCCTCCCTCTAAAGTTACACCATAAATCCTTTTTATCCAAAAAGTCCCATTTCTACTCCTCAAACCCAAGATCACACATTCATTATTTCCCTCTTTTTTTTTCCAGCAAGAAATCCATAATATAAGGGGTTTCCAGTAAACTGATAAATATAGGCGTAGATCTTTCTCTAACTGAACAAGGCATCTTTGCCACTTCTGCTAGTTGTTCGCCATCCATTCCTCTGTTGTGGGTTTTTCAGAGTCTTCCCATTTTGGTGCTGTTTCCAAAAAAGAAAAAGAAAAAAGCTACAGAATCAGTCAGAGTGGGTCTGCCTTTTTGAAGGAGATTTGACTTGAAGGTGGACAGCTGCAATCAAGTGCTTCTCTAAGGAGGCTGAATAGAAGCTTCTGAATGAGGAGATTTCTCCTTCAAAATGGAGTCCCCCCCTTCAGAAATTGGGACAGTAAGGGATAGGAGAACTGAGTTCATGGATACTCTACTGACTGAACAGAGTGTTTGACTACCTAAACCAGTGGTTCTCAACCTTTTTAATGCTGCGACCCCCAACCGGTCGTAAGTCGAGGACTACTCAACCGGTCGTAAGTCGAGGACTACTCAACTGGTGCAGCACTGTTTGCAGAATGGGACTTTTGGTGGGCTCAGCAGGGCAGAGACAGCCTGGACAATTCCTATTGGCTTTTGAAAGCCAATAGAATTAGACTCTATTCAAGAGAGTCTATTCTATTGGTTTTCAAAAGCCAATAGAATAAAAGGGAGTAGAACAGCTAAGAAAAAGGGGGAAAAAATGGTGGACTGCGTTGTTTGGCGACCCCCGTGAAATGGTCGTTCGACCCCAAATGGGGTCCCGACCCACAGGTTGAGAACCACTGACCTAAACCATGTTTATTTATTTCAGTTGATTAATTTGGAGGCTGTACCCACTCTAAATTGACTCTGGAGCCTACAATTTAAAGAAGGGAAACAAATAAAAGAATCTAAAGCATCTGGACAACAGTATTCCACAATCACCCTACCAAAGACTGTGAGGACCAGCCATGCTTTAAGACCTCCAGAATATTTTTTTAGGAGATAACCCCATGGATTTATTTGTGTAGGCTTTGTTTATTTGCTAACCTTGAGACATAAGATACCTTGAGATTTCCTCAGCGTTGTTTGGAACTGGGATGTTTTGCTCCCTGTTTGATGATCACCCAGATACCTTGGTTGAAGTCCATATTTGACTTGATTCAAGAGGCGGTTTCCTTTATTCTACTCAGAACAGGTCGAGATAATGCTATTTATAGGTCTCCTATTGGATGATGGAAATGCAAAGCAAGAGAGCTTTGGAGCTTTTGACAGCAATACCTTGAACATGTCATTTCCACATGTCAGCTGGAGGAATGCAGGTTAAAAGGCAGCGGAATAGATTAAGTGTACAAAATGGCTGACAAGGAGCACTGACAAAGCAAATGTTAATGGATTATTCTGGTTTGGAGAAGATAAGGGGTGAAATTCCGCAGAGTACTGTTCAATTCTTAATGGTTGAGTAAAAGACTGGAGAGAAAACACCACCACACAGCTGATCGTTACCTGCCCCCTCCCTGTATACCAGGGGTTCTCAACCTTGGCAACTTTAAGACTTGTGGACTTCAACTCCCAGAATTCCTCAGCCAGCTTGTCCACAAGTCTTAAAGCTTTGCTGGCTGAGGAATTCTGGGAGTTGAAGTCCACAAGTCTTAAAGTTGCCAAGGTTGAGAACCCCTGCTGTATACTTATAGAAGGCAGGGTGGAGAAAGAAATTATTATCTTCCTATAATTGTTCTCTTCATCTTGCTTAATCACACCTAGTCAGCCAAGTTGAACACATTTCATTATTGACAAATAGTCTTTTTTTCATTTACGGCTGAATTGTCTTAATGGAAGCTTCTGAAAGGATTGAAGTGATATATGCAGAATTCAATAAATGTAAGAGGTTCACCAGCCCCACCACATTTTGGGTTGTAAACTCAAGATCAAGTCTTGAGTAGATCAAGACTCAGATGTCAGGCTGCTAAAACCAAGAAAGGCACATTGTGATTCTTCCAAGGGGATTTCAACATTGTTCCTCACCCATAGACAGAATCGTGCCAAACTACAGTAAATCATGCTAACACCCCATAAAACATATACTCTGGGAACTGTTAGGGAGCAGCTGTCTTCACTCTTTTTCTCCCATCCAAACAATCCAAACTGTGTTGTCTCTTCTTCTTCTTCTTGTGCCATATCCATTATCGGACGTTGGCGATCATGTTGGCGATCCTGTTTTTATCAACAGCTGCACAAAAAAGTGCCGCTGAGTTTTGTCCAAACCAGTCCCTTATTTTTTGAAGCCACGATGTTCTTCTTCTGCCTGGACCTCGTTTGCCTTCAATCTTTCCCTGGAGGATTAAATGGAGTATGCCATATTTTTCTGGGTGTTGCATCATATGTCCAAAATATTCTAATTTTCATTTTTTAATTGTTTTGATGATTTCCCTTGGCTTTCCCAGGCGGCTTATCACCTCCTCATTTCTAATTGTGTTGTTTCTTGCTCCTCTGAAATGCATTTCTTCCCTCCTGGGAACCTGGACAACATTCCATCACAATGATTGTGAGTGGCCTTCTTTCTGAAGTCAAATCCACTTTTAGTGATTGCTAAGTCAGAAGTGTGGATGGGAGGAGGAGGAATGGGAAGAGAGGAAGAGGAGGAGGAGGAGGAGAAAGAGGAGGAGAAAGAGGAGGAGAAAGAGGAGGAGGAGGAGCAGTGGTGGGATTCAAATATGTGAACAACTGGTTTTCTGTGTGGATGCCACTTCCGGAAGTCCGTTCTGGGCCTGGGCAACAAAAAATTAGCTACTGGTTCTGCCAAAGTGGTGCAAACCAGCTGAATTACACCACTGAGGAGGAGAAGAAGGAAAAGGAAGGAGGGAGGGAAGATGTGACCCTGATTTTGTCTACTAGTCAGAAGCAGTAAGTAGAAGTGCTTCAGTGGAAAGAGAAGCAGAAGCCAAGATACTTCCTCAAATACATAATCACCTGCATTGTGTTGGTTCTTCACTATTTACCTGCTGCTGGACTAAGAGTAGGAAATTTAGAATAGATTCTTCCGCCTCACAGAGGCCAAGAGAAAGAGGCCAATGCATGTTCTGCTTACAGTTCCCTCTTTTGAATCACCAAAGGAATGTTCTCTGCCCAGCTTGGCATTAAACAGGGCTCTCTGTGTGCTCCTCAACTTGTTTCAGCATTATCTTTTAATACATGCCTCTTCATTTATAATTCATATTTTCCTGACTCCAGTCTGGATTCCTGTTGACTCCTACACACCTTTCTCCTTTTCTTTTCCTAAGAGTCAGATGAGAACGCTCTGAGAGGTTGTTGGGAGTTTATTTATTTAGCAGGCACATCTCCGAATAAATGTTATTTGTCACTCTTCTATTGCAAGCTGGTGAGGGTTCAATTCCCTCTGCAAAAGTTTATTTATTTAATTTTTTTTTAGAGGAACTACAGTATCTCGGGCGTTTATCAAAAAGCAGAGCCTCAGCTTGCCTTTGACAAAGACGGTTTCTGAATATAAAGAGAAGGGTAGCCATTAAATCGGACTCCAGGATGCCATTCGGAATCTAATGATGTCTACAACATAAACCGTAACGGCTACAAATATCACTTATTTTTGGAGCAGGGTATTATATGAATGGGGAGCACTAAGATAAGATATGGAACCTGGCTTGTGAGCTATAGTAGTAATAATAATAATAATAATAATAATAATAATAATAATAATAATAATAATAATAACTGGAGCATCACTTGAACACCATTGGCATTGACAAATTCACTATTAGTCAATTGCAAAAGACAGCCTTATTAGGAACTGCTTCCATCCTGCGACGATATCTGTAATACCATCAAACATCCACATCTGCCTATCCCAGGTCCTGGGTAAGGACTCGATAGGTAAACAAAATGCCAAATCCAGTCTGAACATCTGGCTGACTGTGCGATGATCAATAATAATAATAATAATAATAATAATAATAATAATAATAATAATAATAATAATAATAATAATAATAATAATAATAAGTTGGAAGGGACCTTGGAGGTCATCTAGTCCAACCCCCTGCTCAGGCAGGAAACCCTATCCCATTTCGGACAAATGGCTGTCCAGTCTCTTCTTAAAAACCCCCAGTATTGGAGCATTCACTGCTTCTGGAGGCAGGCTGTTCCACTGATTAATTGTTCTCACTGTCAGGAAGTTTCTCCTTAGTTCTAGGTTGCTTCTCTCCTTGATTAGTTTCCACCCATTGCTTCTTGTCCGGCCTTCAGGTGCTTTGGAAAATAGCTTAATTCCCTCTTCTTTATGGCAGCCCCTGAGATATTGGAATACTGCTATCATGTCCCCCCTTGTCCTTCTCTTCGTTAAACTAGACATACCCAATTCTAGCAACCGTTCCTTATACGTTTTAGCCTCCAGTCCCCTAATCATCTTTGTTGCTCTTCTCTATACTCTTTCTAGAGTCTCAACATCTTTTTTACATCGTGGTGACCAAAACTGGATGCAGTATTCCAAGTGTGGCCTTACCAAGGCATTGTAAAGTGATATTAATACTTCACATACTTCTTCCTGTCCATTTATGTGACCTGAATCAGAGGCGTGAAAACAAGGATCCATTCACAGTTTTACTTGGGATAAATGAGTCCAT